AACCACCACAGATTTCTTAAAGAGCAATGAGAGACCTGCTTCTCCAGTTATAATAATTACACACACAGCACGGGTGGAAAAACACTATGCCTACTCCATTAAAACTTGGCTTTGGTTCCGTGTTACACACAACCTTTCTACTGACAAGTGACAACGCGCATCCCCATAAAATAGTCAATTAAAGCATGAATCCAGTGTAGTTAGGTTTAACTAATTGCTGAATCCAGTCACTGCAGGTCTGAGGCCGCAAAAAGGCCTTTGAAAAGCAAACGGAGCAGTTCATCACTGTCATTCTTGGTAATACACTCACTCTTTCCACTCTGGTCAAAAAAAAAAGTAGATCAGTTCCCATGGCAACATAGCACAGCAGGCTCCTGTTGACTAGCAGAATCATCACTGTAGGGGCATTGAGGAGAGATGCCTCATCCTCAGCAAGCCACAAGTGTGTCTGGCCATGCGCCATAGACCCAGCTCAAAGCCAACAAGGACAATAGCAGTTTTATGAATGAGAAGGCATAGGCTCTTTACCTCTGTGTATTAAGCCTATGGTCCAGACTGACGCATGTCTGCGTGCCCACATAAAACTAATCTGGTGTAATTCTAGCTTTAGAAATGTATTTATCTTGTAATTCTAGCTTTAGAAAATCTAATCTGCTTTTTTCGATATCTGTATTTCAGATGTTTAAGAAGGGCCATCGTGCCCGGAGCGAGTTCACATCATCAACGCTGAACTTGTTTGCACAAATTAAATCATTTTTTTGTTTAAATGTCCTTCTGGTCCTCAGGCACAGGCTACTGATACATTGCAGCATTTATAGAGAACACGGTTGGAATTGAAAGTGCCATGTTGATGTACCAGACATTTCAACACTCCAGTATCATTTTCAGGAGGAAAACATCTGCAGTGTGATGGGGTCAAAGGTCAAGAATATTAGGAACACATTCAACAAAAAATATTTCACCAGAAGGCAACCTACTTGGCTACTGTCACTGATATGGACTGAAAATCAAGTTGTATCATTATTATATGGCTCTCTCTAGAATACTTGCTTCTTGATCAGTTGCACCATTCACTAGTTCAATTTAAAAAAAAAAAATCCATAAAATATAACAGCTGTGATAACCAGAACTTTACACTCTTAAAAATAAAGGCTCCAAAAGGGGGTTTTCACAATAATGCCATAGAAGAACCGTTTATGGTTCCCCAAAGAAAACATTTTATTGAATGGAATTGTTCTCATATTTATATACGGACTCAACTTTTTTGTTCACATGGCACACTAGAGTCCGTTTGACGTTCTGTCATTTGGTATGAATGCGTCTTGGGTATGGTTCGCAACTTCACATTTTATATGAAAGCAATCCGTTCTAAATCATGGAAGTGTCGTGACGACGTATATTTTTTCAGAACTGTCAGCACAACAAAAACATAACCGCTAGTAGCCTACTCACTGTCCTTACGTTGATACTCATGTTCAGTGGTTTAGACCCAGAAATGAAAATAACAATGTGAAAAAGAAGGTAGAATTTAACCCAAGTTCAGACCAAACAACCAAACAAGTGTTATGGTGCGTCAAGTCATGTCGAAAAGATTGTGTTCAGCGCACACGAACGCCACCACAAAGTCGTAAATACGAGTGGGAAGCTCGGGATTTTCTTTAAGCCCCGATCTTTACGAGTTGGGGGCGTGTCTGTCTATAGCCTGGTTTCCATTACAGATTTGCGCAGAACTTTGCGATATTTTCTAAATGTCGTCGATAAAAAACTATTGCGAAATGACGGCTTTTCCATAAACCGATGTTATACGACTCATTTTAAATATAGACGTAGGCTCAACTATTGGCCGACGCTGGTCGTGTGTGTGATGCGTGTGACATACAACACAGAAGCTTTGCGCTGTTACACTACGTGAACTAACTCGAGGCCTACAGAGAAGGAAATTAATAGTTGAATAAAGTCTCTTTTTTTTTTTTTTTTTTGCACAAAAAGTATTCTCGTCGCTTGATAAACTTAAGATTGAGCCACTGTAGTCACTTGGACTATTTTAACGATGTCTTTAATAACTTTTCTGGGCCGGCAAGTTTCGATCCCTTAAGAAGCCTATGGAGGAGTGATCCAGCTCTCAGATTTAATCAAAAATATCTTAATTTGTGTTCCGAAGATGAATGAAAGTCTTACGGGGTTGGAACAACATGAGGGTGAGTAATTACTGACAGAATTTTCATTTTTGGGTGAACTATCCCTTTAACGGTGACATTGTCAGACTTTTTATTTACAACAAAATAAATTCCCTAAACAAAATATAATAGCATTGTAATAACAATAACGATAAAGTTTACACGGGCTTCATAAATAAATATATATATATAAAAAAAAAACGTTTAAAAGCAAAACACAACTGATGCACTTTCTTCATTTTCTAGAAGTAGAGTTTCAAAACCTTGTGTAGTTAAGAGAAGGCACGCCGCCATCTTGCACCGATGAAAGTGACTTGAACGCACCTAGTAAACACAAATAGTAAATTATTTGTAAAACTAGTAAATACGAACTTCCCAGGAATACTGACCTTGAACCAAGTGACTGTTTTCCTCCATTTAAAGACTAATTATAACAGGAACCAATAGAATTCGAGTGCGGGCTGTAAAGGAGATATTTAATTGGCTACTGAATAAATAGTCCTACATCCCTTCACTGAAGCATCTCGTTCGTGAACTAATTAAATAAACAATACATCTCGTTTGTCAACCATAGACATAAAAAATACAATATTTTATATGTCTACATAGACATATACAATATTGTATTTTTGTTGTTGATAGCAAACTGAATTAAAAAAACATTTCGTTTAGGAACGAACTGAATGAACAAAATATCCCATCTTGTTTGTAAAAGATATTAACGAATCAGCCATCTCGTTCTCGAACTTTTAGCAAATCGAAGTAACCTGCAGAAAACGTAATTGAACGAATCCGTGAAGCGTTTTGTATCCTAATCAAAAGATTCGAGATGAATCACAATCTCCAAATTCCTTCACCTCAGCCACTTGGTGATTTTTGCGAGTGCGCAAAATCACCAAGAACTGAAAATGAATGAAAACGTCTGAGGAGCGACAGACCACAGCACTGCAGCACTGAATGCCCTGGTCAGACGTCACATGCTGTTTATACACAATGCTTTAGATTAGATAGAGTGATGTAGGGCTACGGCTACCTGCATCTTGTTTTTGTCTGAGAGCTGTTGCTGTGTCTGTTTTGTTCACGGTCACAGAAAACAGACACAACAACAAACACACAAGTGGTTAATATCTAAACAAATAGTATATGGTCTGTATTTTAATGTGATAAGGTTTTCATAAGACCGAGTTTTTATTCCGCATTGCGTTTAACAATTAACCTCCAAACAATACTTCGTTTGAAATGATTCGAAATCCAAACGTGCCGTTTCAGAACATTCAAATTAAACATAAAAACACAACACCTTTTTTTAGAAAGGTTTTGAAGCTGGACACTCAAACAGGTTGTCCACAAAATAACCCAAAAATATCTCACCGTTTATGGCAAATATGGACGGAACCAGGAGCAATGTAATTCCAACAGATATCAGACACTTGGTCCACACACCGTGCAGGTCAACATATTTTCGGCACAAGGACAAGCCTATCCAGTCCGACATGCCTTGGGTTCCAGCGTTGCCATTCCCGCTATTGGAGCCCAAAATGTAGAAATCGTTACGCGCATTTCTTGGGGCCATCGGGCTAGAGATAAATTCAGCAATAGGCCGAAAGGTCCCGAAAAAGACATTTGATCTATCCTTTACAGTTCCTTAGACTGAGGTCTTCTCTCCACTGTTTTTCTGCTCTATGTCAGCATTGAAACTTTAAGGCGATGCGTCTGCAAAGCGCATTCAGAATCATCCGTGACCACCACATCAATCACCCGCGCGTTATAACAGCAGGTTATCTAGCACGCTTCATGAAACGAATATTCAGCATAGGAATCCATGAGCGTCAATCCTATAATCCCGCTATTATATTAATGATGCTGCGACGGAAAATCGGCTGCTTTTGATTGGGAAAAAAGACCGCGTCTCCAAGCGAGTGTATGCAGGCAAACTGGTGATGAGGCAGGCGCGTTATAAGGACTGATGAACAAGAGGAAGACGACCTCTGCTGGGTTTACATGAGGATGACTGCTGCTCATGGATAGGCCAATGCAAACATTGTCCATCGACATCATGCTGTCTGCTGTTGTGGGAAATTCTACGAAATTCCTTTGGATTTTATATATTACCAGACTTTTTTATACTGCCTTTAAGTGGTAAAAAAAAAATAGCACCGTATATCTAAAGCAAAATTATCATTAAACTAATATGTAATCTTATAGCATTGATATATGTCTATAAAGCAAGGGGTTGACAGTTTCAAAGTTAATTTTGAACTCATGTCATAGTTAAAATAACGTTAACAACAATCTGTTAAGTTAAATGTTACAGTTAAAATATAGGCCTACACGTGTTATACTCAACTAAAAAGTGGACGATGTAAGGGAATTGCAGCAATAATTTGATTTGCAAATAAATAACCGGGTATTAAAATATGTGTACTTACTAAAGAGATTTTAGCAGAATAAATGTCCTTGTATAGGCTACTTATAAGTAGGCCTATCTGTTACATAACAACCGGAAGCAACGATATAAAACGTCATACAAAATGTGTGATTCCATCCGCATGATGGCGCAATTTCGTCAGTTTCAAACTTAGGTTTTTTGTTCGTTTTTTTTGGCCTGGTACAAGATTATATTTTTGTTTAGAATTAAAATAGTATAAAAACAATGATGTAAATAGACATTTAAATATAATCTTCAGAAGATAATCTTATTTGTGATAAGAAATTTTAAACAAGTGTTTTCAACAAAAAAAGCATGCATCAAGCTAAGAACATATCACATTCTTCATGTTCTCAGTTGTCTTAAAGATTTCTTTAAATAAAGACAAACAAACATTGTGTGCCCGCAGCAATATATATTTTAATTCAAAGTGAATTTTGACAATACACCATAATTTCTTTAATTTGACACTCACCAATAGTCACCAGGAAAACCCGCTTTCTGTGACAAAGTACATAAGGCTTGGTCACATATAAATCACTGAGAACTAGAGAGAAATACGACCGCAAACTGTAAGAGACATTACATCAAAAAAACAAAACAAAAAAGATTCCCAGTCCTCATATAGTGAATATTGCACAGTGCAGTGGCTACATGGCAAACTAATGTAGCATAGAAATCAAAAGCAAACAGAAATCAGAAAGCCACAAAAAAATGTACAAATATGAAAACAGTAACAGTTCAGATTTAGTCAATCAAGTCTGTTTGCTCTTAAGTCTAAATATTATCCGATAACTTGCAGTGAGATTTAACTTTTACTAAAATATAATCTGCAGAGGAGTTAAAAATAGATCTAAAGCAATCCAACCCAAATCCTACGGCAAGTGTTACACAGTAGCACATATGACAAATACAAGGACCCTGAATTAACTGTACAAGAAGATCTAAAAGAAAAAAAAAACAGGAATCAAAGAAAGCAAAAACTGTTTGGTTTGGGAGTTTCAAAGACATTTCAACTTTAGTTTCGTTTGCAGATCCCTCTGTCCTTCACGTTTACGCCAAGTTTCACTCTTATTAGGTTGGTAGACCTTGTTAGAAGTAAAACATTTCGAGAATGTTTACTTGCAGTCAATTAATGAAAAGAATTCATATGATGTGCGCATGAGTAGCAATTTAGTACTCATCTCTATTCTCTAGTGCTACATGCTAAATGTAAAATATAGGGTCATAATGCGAGGTACAACACCATATTTTGGACTGTATCTCCATGAAGTCGGCTATGCTAAAGCAATAAATTCTGATCACGTCCTGTGAAACAAAGGGCAATGTTCATTCTACTTTACAAATGGTGGTTTACATTCACAGTGTATCATGTAAAGCTTCCCAAATACAAGAAAACCGTGTCTTGGGCGTTTAGTCAGCATAATAATAATAATAACAACAATCCCTGATATCATTTCATTATTGTTTTGCTGCTGTTGTTGGTCATAAAAATATAAATTAATCAAGCATGATTGGATTTCCTTTCCACGATTTTGAGAAACAAACATCCATTTTTCACCTTACAGGTGATTACTGCATTGCATGAGTATCAAGTTACACTCGCTATTGGTTATCAGGTTATCAACATCCAACAGGATTACGATCTACTTTTGAGCAACTGGTCGGTAACAGCACTTCAGTTATGACTATCAAACACTGCAGTTACACTTTCATCCCTCGGTCAAGCATGAAAGCGAGGAAGAGGCTGGCAGGCAGTGTTTGAAAAAGGGATATAAAGGTCTGAAGCACATTTCAAAGGCACTAAAGCAGTGTCGCTCGCTTTTAAGAGCAGGGACCGGTGCGAGAATGAACACACCTATATAGAATCGCCCACAAAATGAGAATGGGTGCCCTAACAACTCCTGGTTTTCAGAGTTAGCGAACAGTCCGCCTTAAAACATAAGCAAAACGTGCATTCTGTATCGTGTGGTGTGTTTTTTTCAATTTCTTAATACATGAATATACCTGATACACCTTTTTGTGTGCATTTCAATGTAAAATTATAATAAGGGGGAAAATGAAATCAAATCAAAATTCTAAGCACTGTAGTTAAGATGAGACGCCCAAATGCGATTTTTTTTTTTTTTTGCCCAGCCCTACATTTTGTCTAGCTTATCAAACGTATCAAGTGCTAATAGCATTACTAAAATTAATATTTTGAAATGGTGAGATGAGTGGGTCATTGAATACAGAATTTAAACAAATCAAAACAAAAAGTTAAATCAATCCTGCAAGCTATGCTTTAACAAAATGCAAATATACGTACTAAGATAGATATACACCAATATGCATCTAATACGTAAGATTAGCCCCAAGATAACAACAGATAAAACACTGATGCAAACGAAACGTAAAATACAAAACCCACGCACACAAAAACCCAAATCTCCATTACTTGCAATACAGTAGTTACAATGACACTTCAAAAAAAGAAAGCAAAACAGAGAGAGGCATTAAAATGCTTCTGATGCCAGTCAGTACGGTAAAACCCAAAACAAACTAACAAACAAACGGAAAAAAAAAATCATCTCACTTCTATTTCAAGGTAATTAGACATATATAAAAATAAGAAGGCTAAGAACAAAGTTAATCATCTAATTTCACAGCTATTATGAAGTGGCAATCAGTATATAGCAGCTTATCTATGATACATTCAAGAATAAATGAAACAGTCATAACTTGCCCGAAAAAGCTAAACATCAACCTCAACATTTTTACATAGATTTTTCTGTTAAATACGGCCTCAACTACACTACGTTCGAGGTCTACGCTAAAACAGTAGCTACTCTGCTTAAGAAAAGAATTACTGTCTTTGGTGTAGCGAAAGCATCATTATGAAAGAATGCACCTAATGAAAAACTCAAATCTAAAAAAGAAAAGAAAAGAAATTCACACAGAAAAAAAAAGCTATTTCTCCCTGACGGAATGTATGAAATAAAAACAGCCAGCGTCAAAAAAAGCAATTAAATGGTGAGAGAGGGCATACAAAATCCAATCTTTTCACATGCATCTATAAAGAAAATTGCACACGATCAACTCTCGTCTTATAAAGCACTGAATACTCCAGCAATGATAGACTTTACAGTTGGATACTCAATACTGAATAATTCTGCACAAAGCAAACATGAAACCATACAACATCATCAAAGAGCTATCTGCTGATACAAGTCCAACACCGATAACACTTCTAACTCTAAAAATTAACATAGAACTGATGGAAAGAAAACGAAAAACACACCCCGAAAACTATGGATTGTATTGCAGTTTCATTAAACAGTGTAAATACTATTAGATTAGAAACAGATTATCAAATATGAAAGTACTCAAACGTTTCTATACATAGTTCATCGGCCTCTGCTACGGCGAAGCACGTTATACTCGAAAAATCGAACTCTGCTACCACTCAGCGTAATACATCCACCTGTAAATACCACACGCAAAAGGACTATCGCTTCAGAATAATGCGCAAATCATCTAAGGCGTTAAACAACACATTTCGCCCTGTACAAAAGGTCAAATCATGAGCCTGATCATGCATTCGGCAGGCGTAAATAGCCAATCAGGTGAGATTTTGACGGTTTTAAACATGAGACCCATTAGGGCGTGTTTGGTTGGACACCCAAGCCGCTTTCCGAACAAAAACTCCTGTCGAGAGCCTAAGAGATTAATTAAATAATGATAAATGACACCGAAGTAGAGATTATGCAAGTCAACGAATACACAAATGCACCAAGCTCGAAAAACAAAACAAAACTAAAAGATCTATGAAACAGCCCTAATATAAAAATCACAAATAACGATTGAAAATGTTTCAAGTGCTGCAGTCCGGTACACGCATGACTGCACGTAGGACTCGGGGTAACTTGCAACAACATGTATTTTAAGGCACTGTTTATTGAACCCCAAGGATTCAATGCAGCAAGTCTTACAACATATACACAGAGGGTGAAAAGCCCCCTCCCCCTTTTTGAAGTCCAACATTGGTTTTTGCCCATGCAGAGACATGCAGTGTGACAGAACCTTTTCAACACCGGTCTAAAAGAGAGAGACTTAACACTGAAGAGCATGGGGCTACTACGGAAAAATACAGACAGGTAACACCGGGTCACCACAAGGGGGACTCGCACGCACACTGGAGACAGGGATGGCTTGAACGAGAGTCACTGTGTCTATTACACACGTCAGAAGGCAATATCGAAAAATAGCCTAGGGGAACTGCTGCGGCCCTCTGCCGAGGGTTTCACGACTAGGGATTTTGTTGTATCAAATGTGCAAAAACACATTAAAAGTGAGTTGTGTTCAATCCACACACTCGCTCACGCATCCATTTGTTTGTTTTATTCTCCATGATATCTGTAAAGCTTGATTTGCATCATCATCAAACTTTATAAGGAAAGGAAATGAAAAGAAAGATGTCGCGGCTCAGTGCCGGCTGCGTGCGCGTGGCTGCCGCGGGCTCCAGCTCAGATGTATGGGTACTGACTGAGTTTGCTGGGGCTGAGGGGGAAGCCTGCGTAGACGGGCGACGCCACATAGGAGTGCGGGTGAAAGAGGGCTTTGAACTGGCCCTGCGGAAGCAGGGTGGGGGAGGGCAGCAGCCTGTGGTTGATGCCTACGCTGATGCCCTGGTGGTGCACCAGGCTGTAGGCAGGCTGCAAGACGGGCCGAGGGCCCGGTGGTGGGCACGGTGAAGGCAAGAGGTGGGCCACGGGCGCGGAAGGTGGATAGGAGAGGAGGGCGGGAGGTGGTGGGTGGCCGGCCGAGTGTGTGGGGCTGCCATGGGGAAGCGGGAAGGTGTGGCCGTGCACCGTGGGTGGGATGAAGGCCTGCGGTCTGCGCGGCTGCCGGTAGTTGCCGTTCCACTCCTTGTGGCAAGAGCCGTAATGCTGGACCTGAGCGGGGACGAAACAAAACAATGTCAATTTTGTTCCAACATTTTAAATATCAACTTCATTAACTTCCCAGTTTGGACAATTCCTATTAAAGCGGACTAAATTAGAGAAGTCTAGCATTTGTCACCAGAGAGAAGATATTTTTACTGGAAGATTGTGTAGACATTTTGATTGAAAATTACAGTCAAAAAAGTCAACTAAATAAACATGCAGGGACAAACATTCACAATAAAAATCTATAACATGCATTTACTAAATATATAGGGTAACATTTCATGCTGACTTTAAAATAGGAAGTTGGGTGGCTCATTTTTTAAAAATTGTATTAAATACTTGGTAGTCAATTGCAGGCACTATTAGTGGTTGGGACACTCATTCTAAAGCATTTGGTTGGACAAATCTGTGTAGCACAGGATGAGTCATCAATATTTTTTGGTACATTTAGATATGTAAAAAATATGCTTTTTTGTTTGTTTAAAAAATAGTTACCAGACAAACTAAAAGACACAAAATGTCAATTTTGGATTTCATAAGGTCCTTAACTGAATCTTAAATAAAAAGCAAAACATTTGAATCCATGTACTGTTTGGGAACTAAAAAAATGTTTTGGAACAGACTCAGTGTATGGTTTCATTCAACATCAGCATTCACAATGTTTATTTTAATTAAATAATTAATTTAGTATAATCTACAGAGCTTTTCTCTACGTTTTCAATTTGTACAGTATTACCGAGAGAAGTCAAAGAGAGTTAAAACCGACAGACCTGGCCAAAGCCTAGCGGCTGTGGCTGGAATGAAGAGCTCAGTTTCTGCTGGCGGGGCAGCGTGGGCGTGGAAAGGTGGCTCAGTCGTCCTGGGCCGCAGCGACCTCTGGACTGGCAGGAGGATTCGAAGACTGCAGAAAGCAGAAAAGACCAAAAAATGAGTGATCAATAGATAAAAGGGATAGAATGAAAGGAGGATAATTAAAATGCAAAACTTCAGCTAATAGAAATTAACATTTGCAGTTTGGCACAAGAACTGCAACTTGTACGAACTGAATTGGCTGACGTTCTGTTTACAAGAAAGTGATTTAAACATTAGAAAAAAAAACAAGTACAAACTTTGAGGTTGAAAAAAATAAAAACTGAGGACCTACCAACTTATAAATAAACTTAGATAGCAATGTATCTAAAACAGAAACTCTCCTCAAACTTTCCATGGACACCCCAAAACGGTAACGTGCCATGAGAAGCTTCTGAAAGAGTTTACCACTCCAGCAATATTTCTTTCATAGCATGCGTTGAAAACAAAGCATTGGCTCCATCTAGGAAGCAGGAAAGATATGCTTTGATACGAAAGGGGGAGGCCGGGAATTGTTTTTCCAAAAACAAGTAAAGAAATTTAGGGCAGTCAACACGCAGAGTAAAAATGAATACAGGAATGAAAAGATCACAGGTATGGGAGAGGAAGCTCAAACCGAAAGGGTCACTCAACACTGGGATGTCGCGCACAAGACACAGGGTCGCAGTGCACGTTATACCCATAATCACCTGCGATAGCCTCTGTGACAACTTCCTGTTTCTCTCCTATGACCTGTAAAGTAGACATTGGCTGTGACCACACTAAAAAAAACTGGTTGTGCAGAAGGAACTTTGTATTAATAGCCCAATTTTAGACTGGAAAAAAGTCCATTCAGAGAAACCAGTCTGTATACCACACAAAAACAATTTCACAAAACAGCAACAGTTCAACAGTACGGAATGAAGCAAGTCGGTTTATATTTTTACCACGCAGCCATGTAAAAATCTGAGCTGTGGATGTAAATGGGATGCAAATAGCACTTCAAGAAACAGTTGTACATTGAACCTGCACAAGACAAAGGACCATTACAGGTTTGACAAAAGTTGAGCTATTTTCTATTTAGTTTCTTGAGGTATGATGGCACAGAAAATTATTTTGGCCATCCTTCATTTAGTACAAAACTTGTTTGTTGTAATGCACTGTGCACATACAACGGAAGTCTATTTAGCATAGCACTAGGATACAAGTTTAACATTTCTTTTTTTCTTTTCTTTTTTTTTACATTATCCCCCAGTTTCACAGACAAGGCTTAAGCTAGTCTTAGACTCAAATGCATGTTTGAGCTGTTTTAACTGAAATCAACTTGCCATTGTTTTGTCTCAAGATGCACACCAGTAATGTTTTTTTCTTTCTAGGGCACATATTTAAAAGCTACTTAAATACCCCAATTGAACTCAGGCCTAATTCTAGTTTAGTCTAAGCCATGTCTGTGAAACCAGGCCATTATGTTTTATTACAAAAAGGGTAAGAAAGTGCTTGTCTGTGCAAAGTTATAATCCAATCCAAACTCATGTCATGCAAAGTAAACTTTAGTAAAGTAAAAGTAAACACACAATACACACACAAATAACACAAAGGGAGATGAGATACACTACCGTTCAATTTTTTTTTACTCTTTAAATGTAACTTATATTCAGCAAGGACACATTAAACTTAAAAACATTGCCATTAAAAAAAAATGCTGCTCTTTTGAACTTCTAATTCATTGAAAAATTAAAAAAAAAATTAAAAAGGCATCACGATTTCCACAAAAATATGAAGCTGCACAACTGTTTTCAACATTGACAATAAGAAATGTTTCTTGAGCAGCAAATCAGCATATTAGAATGATTTCTGAAGGATCATGTGACACTGAAGACTAGAGTAATGATGCAGAAAATACAACTTTGCATCACAAGAATAAATTACATTTTAAAATACATTAAAAAAGAAAATAGTAATACTGTCAAATATTATTACTATTTAAAAGCTGGTTTTATTGAATTTTTGATCAAATAAAAGCAGCTTTGGTAAAAAAAAAAAATTGGTAAAAAAAGTTGTAAAAAATATGACCAACTCTTTTTTTAAATGGTAGTGTAGCTATCTGCAAAGTATTGTTTACATGAAGCAAACTCCACTGGCAGGAATTACACCTTTTAGTAGCACTTTAACAGCATGGAAAGATAAAAGGTTGATTTAGATGACACACGCTTCAGCTCAGATGAATTCAATGCCCCATAGACTTCCACAGTAACAGTTAAATTTTGTGTTGCTTTTATTCAATCTAAAGGACAAGTTGAAATGATTTCCTGTAATAACCGACAGCCTGTATGAAACCTAAAACATTATTTCAAGAAAACATAGGCAACAACTACTGTTTCACTAAAACTTTATATGTTTCTGAAGGTCTACAACTGGAGTTATTCTTCAACATATGGCCAGTCCATACCTGTGTGGTGCTCACTGTTGGGATGATGGTTATTGTTCAGCACTCTCATGGGCGGCACCACCACGGTCCTCACCGCAGGTTTATTCAGCCTTGTGTCAGGGTGTCCACGTCTGGCCTGGGGTTCCTGGTTCTGGTTCTGATTGGTCAGGAAATGTCTTTCGGGGAAGGGGCTGTCGTGGGGCCCTAAGGAGGAGTCTGAAGGGGGCGAGCCGTCTACTGTTTCACACCCACTTTCATGGCCGTCATCTTCTGATATACTGCAGTAGGGCACAGGAGGGAAAGAACATCAAAATACATACAGACTCAACCTCACCTCACAGTTCTACTGGTGTTAAATATAAAATGCCATACCTGCTGGGTCTTTTGCATGGAGAAGGGCTGGATTGTGCCGAGGCTGAGGAGCTGGTGCTGAGACTGCTATCAGGACTGCTGAGGGAACACACTCGCTCCATGTTCAGAGAGCCTGTGCATGCTTCACACTCTGGACTGCCCTTACACCTGTCAAAGACACATGCCACTCAATTTAGCAACAAGAGCCATATTATGCATGCAAGCTAAACAGAATTAAAGTCCACAACTGACAATATTTTCTAGTAGTGTTTTATTTAGTAGCATTTTATTTCCCTGAAATCTACCTAGAATGTTAGTTAAGATGTTTTACACCATAATTTAGCCATAAATAACCATTAAATACCTCGCACTGAATTATTTTCTTATGCAGCTTTAAGAGCTCTATATGCAAATTACTTAGTTTACTTGCAAATAGATTAACCAATCATAACATAAGTCAGACTCACACCACCCCGGTCTGAATACTGAATATACACTACTTTTCTGTTGGAAAGAATTTATTGTTTTATTTAGCATGGATGCATTAAATTGATTAAACATGACTTTTGGACGGTGATGAATGTTGATTTGTAAACGTGAGTACATATTGAGGGTTAAACTCACTTATTAAGAGAGCACCTCTGTGCTTGTTCCTCTTCATCTGTGCTGCTGCTTATACTAATAACGCTAACCACCGGACTGGGCGACTCTCTGATGATGATAGACTCTCGTTGCTGATTGGCCACTGCTGTCTTATAGCAGCCCTCTTCCTCCACCTGCTCCGGTTCCTGCTTCACTTGGGCCTGCACTGCTCTGTCAGGAGAACTCTGCTGTTGCTCCGCACTCGCCATCCTGTTCGCCATCTTTGGTGACGGACACACTGAGGGCTGTGTGTCCGTGTAGTGCGAGACATTCATACTCCTAAAAAGCAACAAGAATTAATATATTTATCTCCACTCTCCCCTTCGGCTAAATGTTATGGATCCTTTTCACCTAAATAAAATGATGTTAATAGCTTTGGAAGTGCGTCACAGTCTGTGAAAAGGATCCATTTAATCAAAACCGAATTAAACTAACAAGAGTATCATAAGTTTCGAATAGAGGCCAAGGCATCTCGCAGGCTTTTTGAGACCCTGCCAATGACTGTAGGCTGTTGCTCACCTGTTCTGGCTGGGTTTGTTCCTCTTGTTAGATGCAGGCTGAGGCCAGACCACATGAGCGATGCCAATGTTTATAGGCTGATGGGCTGACACAGCCATTTGGCTGGGAACAATAGCCTGGGTCATCACCGAACTGTAATGGCTGCTGTGTGGCCGCACTTTCCTTTAACAAAGAAAACAACAGTCACCGAAATGCTTAAGAGGTCATGTCAGCGCATGATTTTTAAGGCGCAGCTCCTTCTTGATGATCTTACCCCCAGTCTCCTCTCCTCTGCGGTCCAACGACAGTATCGGATGCCAAGCTCGTAGCAGGTGGTGGGACCTGCTGCCAAGCTGGCACTAGGATCTGTGGAGTTCTGTTGGACCACGGCTGCTGAAAGGTCAAGAAAGGACAATGCTGAACCTTTGTAATGTATCTTGCTTCGTGTTAAATATCAAAACTGGTACGTCAAGATGGATAACAACCCTTGGCAGATTTCCATTATTTTTCCCCGGTATCTTGTGAAATAGGCACTTACTTGTGCTATAACTCCTGGTCTCATGGGTAAGGGCTGAATAGCTGGGGCTTGGGTCACCAGAGGAAGAGTGTTCTCCATTCTAACCGAATATCCTCCCGGCTGATTTGGGTTTGAAGGGATTCCTGTAGAATCAAACAACCAAATTAACGTCTCCATGTGGTTTCTGCCAAAATAAAATCCTGATGGTTTTAAAATGAAAAAATTAAGACAAGCATAAATATAAGAATTGTCATTTTTATAGTTGTATTGTAAAACAATTATTTATTATTATTGTAATTAAATTATATTTATTTTTATTATACAGTGAAATATTTGTAATATTTATTATTACTAAATAATGGAAATATGTATTATTTTGCTTAATATTTTAAATTAGTAGTAGTAATAACAATAGTCATTTAATTTTAGAGTACAATTATAATTAATCATTTTATAGTCATATTGACATAAATCACAACACTTTTGCCCAAATTGTTGCTCCCTACAATCAAGCACTCTTTAACACATTTTTTTAAAGATTAAAAGTGCCCTCGTGCATCCCTAGTTCAAATTATTATGTGCAGCCCACTAGAATGTGAATATGCAGTACCTTGAAGAGCAGGAGGGCATAGAATGAGCGCCTGCTGAAAGGAGTCGTTACACCCAAACTGGGAACTTCCTGTCTGGATGGGAATTCCAGGATGCACCACAGGTGGAGCAGACGGCGGCAGAGTCTAAATGGAAAGGTAAATAGATTAATCTCAGAAATAATCTGTCGTTGTCTTCTTGCTTGCACTTAAACCCTGAGCACTTTTCAGAGCATGCTGTTTTACCTGAGAGTGGACAGATGGCATTTTGTTGAAGGCGACAGTGATATTTGGAGCACTTGGAAGAGTCACAGGCTTCATGAGTGGGGGTGCTTTGTTGCGGTTGAGAGTATCGTAAATGCTTCTTGAGTGACACACATCCATGATGTGGAAACAGGACTGGACACTGTTGGAAACAAGCAAACGATTTCTCGAGAATGACCACACAAAATAGACAACAGTCCATGAAATTGCCATTAAAAATGTCTGGACATACTGGTTGCAATGGGGGAAATCCATCAGGTGCTGCATAGTGACAAAAGGGTGATTAAGTGCATCTGAAGGGGCGATTCTCTGATCGGCATCAATCATCAGCATCATCTTCAGCAGGTCCACGAATTCTCTCCTGTCAGCTTTCTCCGCCAACTGGTCACAGCCCTCCATGTTAAGCACAAGATTCACCTAATAAATTAATAGAAAAAATACAAATACTTAAATACGTTAAAACAATAAAAACAATTATTATCATTACTTCTACCACATACAATAATAATATTTTTTATTGCTGTTATGCGATTAATAACTGTCATTATTATTATTGTATAAAATAAATGATTAACAAAACTAATATTATTATTAATGATTAAATTATGATATGCAATATTATATATTACAATATAGTATTAACTATATTATTATATTTTTATATTATTTGATAAACACTTTTCTTGATTTCATATGCAAAAACAAGATGCAAGATTAATGAGGTCTTACATGTCCAATGTCATCCAGACAGCTAAAAATGTACTTCCTCGCCTCCTTGGACTTCAGTCCTGTTTCGGTCTCATGTTCTTCAGTCGTCTGCAGAAACAGGAAGTGTGTTTGAAGTCATTACATAAGAAATTCACATCAAAACTTTAAGCAGAGCAGACAGTAACTCAATCCAGAGAGCTATGCTGTTTATGACAGCAATGTCTGGTTAAGTGGATGAGAAATGGACCCTTGCCTTCAATCTCCAGGTTGCGTACGGTGAATCGGACTCCTTGCAGAAGAATCTGGCCGTCTTCGTCCCCACATTCAGAAGCTGCTCACCTGGTAACCCTTGAGTTTGAGAGATGTAACGAATCTGCAGAGATGTTTTCAATATTAGTGGATTTCTGATAAAACAAGTAAAGCTAAATCCATATGAAAATCCTTCATGACAAAAATCCTTTGATTTACAAAGCATGACAAGATGGTGATGGTAGTTTTCCACTATTCCAAGAGGAAGTAATTCGAGATAAGGCTGGTCAGGAATAGGCAGGTCCCTATGAGTGGTATGAAGCAGGGGAATTGTGTGCCAAAATACCAATGAACCATTCAGAATGGCATTTTGTCTTGACAAGTATATTTGTATCACAACCCTAGTGCTTACGAAAGATAAATATGGCTCAAATGTATTCAGAAGGAACAAATATTTCAAATACTATAAAAGAACAGATATCACCCATGATTGTGCATGTTCAGGATGAAAAAAAAAAAAGAGCGTTTCAAGAAGTTACAAAGCATCAATCGACAAGAACCAGCAAAACCAGCTCTGATATGCACAACAAAAGAGACAAATATAAGCAGATAACTTCTTCAGTTGTTATTTCAAGCTATCAGTTTTATCAGCTTTATGAAGGCTAAGCTCGGCAAGCTCGGTGTTTAACTCTCAATACAGAGCGCAGTATGGGGTCTGCTGCTCCTCAAGGCTTTATTAAGATGCCAACTCAAGATGCTGGCCACTCATTCTGCCCACAACAGATGTCAAACCTCTCACACCGCACAGACTTAATGCAAGCCAACGCAGGGCAAAATGTGTTCTTTACCATTTGGTACCACCACCACCTACAGAATAGTACATGGACGGATCCCATCAAGCAACTTGAGGGAAATGGAAAGTTTTATTGGTAGTGAATGACAACAGGGTAAGAAATGAACCATGGATCATCGTAAATGTCACTGGAGGTGATAAAATAATATCCTGAATGTGACAAAAATGCTTAAATTTACAATGTGAGTGTGAAAAGCCTCATACAGTGCATTTCACTGATATTTTGCCATCTAATATTTGAAACATTTAATTTAATTCTAGGCGTAAGGTACGTGTTTAGTATTAGTTTAACGTTTCTGAAGTTTTCATTCAGCCTTTTGAACTTTCTAATGATCAAAGAATCCTGAAATGGTTTCAACAAAAATTAAGCAGCATAACGGTTTTCAAAATTGACAATAAGAAAAGTTTCTTGAGCAGCAAATCAGCATATTAAATTGATTTCTGAATAATCATGTGACACTGAAGAGTGAAGTAATGATGCAAAACACTCTGCTTTGCCATCACAGGAATAAATTACATTTTAAAATATATTAAAATTTTAAATATATTAATATTTTAATTCAAATAATATTTCCAAAATGCTACAATTTTACTGTGTTTTTCATCAATAAATGCAGCCTTGGTGAGCATTAGATTTTTTTCTTTTATGTTTTTGAAATAAGTCTCTAACAACCCCAAACTTTTGAAAGGTAGTGTATCTTTGTGCATCATTAACAGCTACTTACTGTAATGTGGATGTTATTATATATTCACTTACAATATTTAATTTAATTGTTCATGCAGAGAATTTGTTTCAAATAATATTAATAGAAATTGAAGTATTTCAAATAAACAGACAACACAGTGGGTGTTAACAGTTACAATTACAGGGGAAAATATTGCCCTCGGTATTGGTCATTCAGTCAACAAAGCACTGAAAATGACCACTGACAGCCTTGTTTTTCATTTGAATAGGTTTAAATAAGTTGTCTAACTAGACAAAGGTTTGTAGTAATAGTCTCTTTGGTTTCCATCTTTAAATTATGCTACATCACTCCCTTTTAACTACCTACTGTTGTGGTTTGTTTGCCAAAGCACGCTTTTATAAATCTATGACGGTAACGAGCAATGACTTCATAACGCAAATAACATCACAAAGGCATTAACGGTGTTTGGTTAACCATAGCGGTGTCTTTTTAGGGAAGGCAGGAGCAGTTCAATCCCACCAATGCATGAGTCTCTGTGTAAAAACACCATTGTTCTTGTTGCCTTGGGAAACCGAGTATTACTGGTCAGTAAACTCTTCTGACGTTCGCCTTCAAGCGTGCATCTGTTGCTTCTCAGAAAGACTGTGTCATAGTGGGCCTCTACCAGTGAAAGCAAAGCCACAACAAAGCCCTCTTTGGCTGCTCGCTCTCATTCCTCTTAGTCTCTTCCTCTCTCGACTATGACGCCACCTCTCCTTTTACAAGCGCTGAGGCTCAACACCGCTGTGTTAAACAAGCAGTGTTTATGGCATCTTAGGGGTGTTATAGTGCCATGATCGGGTTGCCGAAGCGCTGCACAAACACAGAGAGTGCGCTGAAGTGAGAACCTGCTGATAGTGCAGAGGGAGAGGGTGTGTGTGCAAGTGGGGCTTTCGGTTATAAATACATTCTGCTGTGTGGAGTGGAACTGGACCCATTGCTGGCACTGACAGGCGGCCCGGGGGTTTGTGGCCAGCAAACCCAGTCCAGCTTACTCTGACATAGCCGGCTAGTTTTGCTACTGTCATATGTGGCATTTACACCACCTCCGACATCTGGTTTATCGGCAGCGCTGGTCCACGGTGACCATAAATGTGCTCACACATTTTAATGTGTGCAAATCATCCTTCAGGTTGTGTGTTGAAATTTGCTTTAAATACTGAGCTAACAAACATGGTCATTTCACATAAACAAATAAATAAAATATAAACTACTGTAGTCCATGACAAAATCTGTAGACATTGGGTTTTCTGTACTTTTTTGTGGGAAAATGAGAAATTAGGAATGATTTTGAATACTACATTGTTAAATACCACACTACACTGTTATTGATGGCTGGAAACATTTGTATTAATTTTACTATATATTTTATTAGCCAAATTGTTTAATACAAATTTGCATTCAGCATAAATTTACTTAGCTCTCTACCTGCAAAGATTCACAATGGTTGACTAAGAATATCTAGATTGAAATAACTATATCATATTAATGTATACGAATTAAAAAGATAAATCAAATAAATTAATAACAATTAAATAAATCATTCAAAATAGTGACCATGCTTATGGCATCACAGAAGTGAAAGCCCAGGATGATCTCAAAGATATTTTATTTTATTTCATTTTAGAGGTCATCCTGGGCTTACCCTATTGTAATAAAATCAAATTAAATATTTTTTTATTTTAATTAAAAATATTTCATGTTTTTTATTTTATTAGGGTAAGCCCAGGATGATTTCTTAAGAAATCATCCTGAGCTAGCTCAGGTAAGCCCAGGATGATCTCTAAAATGAAATAAAATATCTTTGAGATCATCCTGGGCTTACCCTATTAAAATTACATTTACTTAAATTAAAGTTGTTTTTGGTGGTTCCTAGGAAAAAAAAAATCTAGATAAACTCAGTTTTCCAAAATCCAATATTGGTTAGTCTCTATCTAGCATGCTCAAACTGGTTTCACAGTTTGCGTTTTGCAACACGACTGTTACGACGTTGAATTCAAGTTAAAATAGTCCAGCTTTTAAAAACATGCCAGGAGATCCCTAGATCCCGTACTATACTTGCTTATGTACAGTTTTGCACAACCCTGCTACTAATAATTTTCTTTTTTTGTGAAGAAAAGTTATCACAAAGCCTTACACTGAGGATAAAAGCCAATTATGTAATACTCTACCACACATTAGCATGGCACCAATGCAACAAAGTGGGTCATTATCCGAGATCACTGCCTTATCTTACCTGGTCATACTCCAGTGCTCCTGGATAAAGTGGCCAGCCCAGGAAGAGCTCAGCGATGACGCAGCCAAGTGACCACATGTCTATGGCCTCACAGAAGGGTAAGCCCAGGATGATCTCTGGAGCCCTGGAACACATTATCAGAAAAGAATAAGAATTAATGGAGTTGTTCCCTTGACAACAGGCCGTTGATTGAAAATAGCGGGACACGTAATTACAAAAGCTCCGGAGAAGAATGAAGATGCATTTGTTTGGATGAGCAAAATGCTACAATTTGAATCATGCAAATCATAATAAATGTCAAGATGGTTTATACACATCTGATGTTAAACGCAACATTTAACGTGATGCAATGACACAGACTCAGTAGTTTGGGTTTGTGACATCTATGCAAGTCACGTCTCGTGCTCTTTAAGCTCAAGAGTCATGTTTTGTGTCCATATTGATATAATCTCGAGTCTAATGACGCAGGGCTCCTGTTCTGATGCAGCGAGAGTCTGCTGTTGGATCGGGGTTTTGACGTCAACGGGCCCATACACATCTGCTACCGTGACAACCGGAGGGAAAGTGCTGGCTGCCTAGCGACAGATGAGGACGGATCTAAACACCAAAACTGGATGACAGAGTCGAGGAGTCTGATGACACAATTAACCCTGGTCACCATTAATAATCAACTACAGAGCAAACTCCTCATGCACAGTTGCTAACAAGCTTTGCTGTTTGTCCGAGCCTGTTGCTTACCCGATCAAGCGTGTAGCACCTAAAGTTAAAGGACACACAGTTAAAACAGTAACTTTTGCCACATCTATTGATACAGGAACACGTCATGCTAGGTCACTAGTAAGCGACTGTAACTACCAACAGGACAAACAGTAACAAAAGCCGCTATGAATAATTCACCGGTAGCTTGGCAATGTGAGACTACCTTTTTAAATTCGAAACTTTGAAATTAAGTTACAGTTAAGGTTTCCATTATTGCCTGTACATTTAGGCCATTCTTAACCAGCTTAGTCTTCATAGTCAATGGTGTTGCAGAAGCACATGCTGTGATTCATTTTAAGCCGCACAACCCATTATTTGCACACGCATTATATGATGCATTATAAAAAAGGAATCACAGCGTGAAACAAACACACTGCAATGCTAGATATATTTGGCCAGCTGTCAATGGACTGAACTGCTTTAAGTTATTCATATGCAAGAGGAAAAGGGAAAAAAAGGAGAGAAAAAAAGAAGAAAAACTGCCGGCCAGATAATCTTGTTAAGTGTTAAGCTAAATTCAATTGTTTGCAGTTGAAAAAAAAAAATCCAATAAGCAGAAGTAACTTGGAATACGTGTTCCTGGAGTATCCAATCAATAAGCATGGCAACATTTATAAATAATAATAATAATAAATAATGAATTATATATTATAATAAATTAAAATAATTTAATATAGCTAAGCCCAGGCAGAAACTGCAGTTATTTTTTGTTATACAAAACATTTAAGTAATAATACCAATAATAATAATAATAATTTTTATTTACAAAAATAAAAAGGATCTGAAGGGTTGTTTTTATTATAAAAAAAAATATTATTATAGGTATATTAAATGATTTAATATAGGCCACCTAGACAGAGTACACAGGGTTTTTCCTTCATATTTTCTCCACTGGTTTCCATAAAAAAGAAATTTGCAGAATGGGTTTAAACATAATAAACAGTGGTAAATGGAGCTAAGAGTACTTAACTCTTTTTGATTATGCTTTAAGCTACTAAATTGGCCAAACTATTAAACAAACAAACAAACATTTACAAATCAGCCTGCACATCCATGTGGGCTTGCATATTAGCCATTTTTCATAAAATGTCCAGCATAAACCATCTACATCATTATATAATATGAAATAACCCATGCCATAAGATTATGGTCTTATGGCACAAAATAAGAATACAGTTATTAAATATAACTCTACAGACAGCTGTTGTTTCAACAGAATAACTACAGTTTCAAGCAGGAGAGGCTATTTTCTGCCCTGGTAACGGTATGGCTTAGCTGACAGTACAAACATGAGTTTGTTTGGCTTTGTGACAACAAATAGAGTGCTCTATATTCTGCACAAGATCTTATGGCCTAAATCCTAATAAACCTCCAGCATAGTGATGGGAAAAGTGACGAAATCCAGGGCCTAACATAAGTTAAACCTGATAATACCACACGCTCCGGCTACACAGGGGAGAAATCCAATAGCAAGGGGCATTGGAGGACGAGAGGGTATTAGGCCAGCTAACAGACCCTAAACCAGGGGTCTGCAAGTAAGTTTGGCATTGGGGCAAAAAAAAAATGTTTGCCACTAGATGGCGGGCCAGAACATAGTCAAAGGATAATTTAAGAAATGAATTGATGAAAAATGCAACTATAAATTGTCCGTGACAGACTGTTACAGTGTCTTTTGTAACTGGTAGTGAGCTGTTACTCTGTGTTAAATCCTGTATTAGGACAGTCATTAACAAAAAGCCACATTTGTGTGGCGGTGTCTGGGTTTAAAGGCCATTGCACACTGAGTCCGAAATTTTCGTATGCGTTTTTTCGTATTCGTGATTCGGAGGCTGTGAATTGTCAAAACACCCTTCAAACTGCTTGCAACGGATGCGAAAAACCCGGTTCGATTTTTTTTATGACGCACGAAAGTTTCGGAGGCGGTGTGCAAGCGTGATTGACATAACGTGAGGTCGTATTTATTTTTTAACGTGCGAAAATTTCGGACGCGAATTTCAGACTCAGTGTGCAATGGCCTTAACACTGGATAAATCAATAAAGCAGTAGAGACCTAACCAGGCAAGTATCTTCATTCACCAACTTGCAACACAGACCACCTTGCTAAAACACATTTGTGGGAAATGCGGAATGGATAAAAATAACAAAAACAAAAAAAATAAGGACTTGAATAAGCATGTTTGAGTCATGCTCTTAACTAACTATGTTTTATTTCCTCTTTCCATAATTGTGAATAATAAATGTGTATCATTTTAATTTGCTTGTTACACAATGGAGCCTAACTTATTGTAGGGCTGGCAATTTTAGTCGTTTAGTCGACTAATCGGTCGATGCCGTCTTGGTCGACTGACATTCTTATTGGTCGACCAGTTGCTTTTTTCTTTTCTTTTCTTTTTTTACCAATAGAAAGAAATTTTCAATGATTTACTCCTTGATATTTATTCCTTTATAAGCAGTTATATATTACTGTATTCTAAATATAATTAGCCTATGGTTTATCCCCAACTTTAAATGCTTTAATTTAGGCTATTTTGTAACAGCGCCCAGCACTGTGGCTGGCTGCGCTGCTGCTTCGTGCTCAGTAGGTACGGGGATAGGTACGGTAGTTTAGCTGTATTCATTCAGTTAGAACACTACTTGTTTCGGTTTTTATGTTTTTATACACTATGTTTTTATCTCGATGCGGCGTGGACGTACTTGGAAAAAAAAAGAGCGCATCGCACCGCGACCGCGTTGCTTCCATCATGAGCGCGCACACCGCGCGCCTACATTTGAAATCGAACTTGAGCGCGCAAAAGACGTGAGCAGTCCCTTTAACGGCTTTATCATGCTGACTCAATAGATTGTGTTTTCTTTATATGTTTTTATTTGTAGGCCTACACTTGACGCATTTGAAAATAGCCTAAATAATGTAACAAAACGAAATAAACCTATATGCGGTCCTACAATACAGCCTATTATTATTAGGATTGTTTTTTAGGCTCTTTGTGTTTTTTTGTGTGTTTGTTTTAAAACGCCTAGATCAGCTGGACAAAAGTTAACCCATAGCTTTGAAAGTAAAGAATATACAGCCTGTATAAACGAGAGCTTTTGTTAGGATTTTTCATTGTGGCAGATAGCAGTTATATTTTTTGTAGCATGTGGTGTGGTCAGGTGCGCGATTGTGACTGTTATTATAGACCTAGGACAGTTTTATAGACCTAGGACAGTATTATAGACCTAGGACAAAAAAAATCACTTAATTTTCAAAGAATTGTATTATTATTATAGTTATGTATTTTTGATGTTTTTTCGTTGTTGTTTTATAAATGCTCTATCACAATTGTTAAAAAATGTTCAATCAAAACATCGCGTCTTTTTTATTATTTTTTTATTTTATTTTTAGTCGACTTATCGTTGCGCAGGACAAGACTTTGGTCGACTAAGAATTTCTTTGGTTGACTACAGCCCTAACTTATTGTAATAATTATTTGACGTAGCCTACTTTTACGCTCTTTATTCCTTGGCACCCTCATGTACTAAACTGCTTTTTTTTATTGTTTGCATGCTGGAGGTACGCTATTACGTCGTGTGCAGAGTGATGCTAACATTTAAGCTAGCTGGTGAGAGAAAATGGCACTGTGAAAAGAGTCTAAAGAAGAAAGTTGACAGCAAAAATAGGGCATACAAAGAAGAATGGAAAGACAACTATGCGCTCATCCTACTACCTAGTTTTGTGAATGCAAAGCCGATGTCTTATCTGCAACAAAGCCATACACAGACATTTAAATGTCTGTCAGAACTTTTCAAATGAAAAGCTCTCAATTCATCTCAAAATAAAACATTGCTGCAAAAACGTTCTCGTACTTATATTTTGAAGGCAAAATCACTAAAGACGAAGTGATTGTTAGTAACTGTTGCTGTCATGACAGATCTATTTCAAAACCAGCCGCTATCAAAATAATCATGCTATCATATAATCATACAATATTATTGCTGGCGGGCCACTTCTGGCCCGCCTGTTTCCGACCCCTGCTCTAAACGCTAACATGGTAATATTTTATTATGCCAAATTATATCGCAATTGGGTTATGTTCCAAAAAAAATTCAAGATTTTAAGACTACTTAGTTATATCAATATGGTTTTGCAGCTTTAAAAAAAAAAAATTTCCAGCAGCCCACAGTCAGCAGGAAGTCGCATTTCAAGTGAAAGAATCAGGGGAAGTTACAGAAATCAGGTCAAAAAGAATGATGACATAACAGAGCAGGTCTTGACTTTCCAACTCAAACAAAGAGAGTTACTGTTAAGACTATTTAGAGGATGCTTTTGCACCCGTGTTATATTTGCTTGAGTCCAGGCCAGACTTCAAATGTTCAAGCTCTTTCCCC